TCACTTTTTCAAAAAACACTTACTTTCTTATTATAAGACAACTAAATTTATATAACAAAAATTTATGTCTACTATTATTTCCATCATTTAAAGAATATCAGCTTCTAAATATCTTTTTTATAATAATAAGACGATCATTTTTCAGCAATTAGAAATTGATGATAATAAAAACCAGTTCTTTCAAACGCAATAAATAGTTACTTTTTTTCCGTTAAATTGTTAAAGGCGCAAAAAGGAATTTTTAAAAAGATGTTTGTTTTTTACATTTTAATGCATATATTTTTAATTTCAAATGTAAAATAGACCATTTTCCAGAAACTTTCAGACCTATGTTTTTATATGATTTTAAATCAGTATAATATTTTCAATCATAATCAATCATAAAAATGGGTGGGTGTAAAACTACCCTAACACCCTATTTTGCCCTATTTGGGACCCTTAACACTAGATTTAGATTTTAAAAACAACTTTTTTTATTATTATAAAATAAATATAATTAAATAAAAAAAGTTTCATTTAATTGACACGACATAAAACCTGGCGGTCTCTCTGGTCCACTGTGATCGGTGTATTAGTTTAAAGATTTGGATAAGATTGCATCGTAGGCGCCGAAACTCAAGTGAAGGTAAATTTAGTCTTTTTAGTCATTCGTAGAATATCTCAAGCTCAAGCTTGAAGCCCATTTTGTTGCTTTACATTAAATAGATTTAACTAAAGCTACGTCAGTTTTTAAGTACGGGGCCCAAACGGACACTGCGCTATTCAAAGTACAAAAGCTACGTCAGTTTTTAAATACGGGGCCCAAACAGACACTGCGCTATTCAAACACCCTATACAATTTGAGAGCCTTTATTTTCATCAATGATGTTAAACGTCTTTTTTAGCATACCAAGAACTTGTAGAGATTTGGAGACAACTGATTGAATAATTGTGCTCCACTTGAGGTTAGATGTAAAAATGACTTCTAAATCACGCTCTTTAGTAGAGCTTCTTAGGCTTTATTTATACCTTGATTATTTTGAAATAGGTAACTGTACATAGGATTGATTTTACCATAATGGATAACACAGCATTTTGAAATGTTTAATTTAAGTAACCAAGTGTTTGACTACTCGTATACTAACCGTAGACAATAGTTTTAGAAGAGTTTATGAAAAATTTTTAGTTTTGTTGACAAATATTTCAGAAGTTTTAACAAGTTAGGCAAGATTGTTTGTGAAGAGAATAAAGAGGTTCGAGCCGAGAACAGAACCTTAAGGAACACCACCAAAAACATAAACCCAGACAAAGCTAGTATTGCTAAATTCAATTTTTTCAAATTTTTTGCAGGCAACCGAGGTTAATGAAATAGTCGATAGTTCGATAGAAGCAATTTATCTCCCTTTTTTTTTATAGACCGGACTAATATTTGCTAATTTCTAAAGAGTTGGTACTATTCCAGAATTAAAAGATTAATGTAAGATTTTTGTAAAAGGAATTGCAAAGGTTTTGGCGCATATCTTAAATATTAAAGCATGCAAGCCGTCAGGTCCGAAAAATTCATAAGAGCTTAGATCGGTAAGTTCATTAATGTTCAATAATGTCTGCAATAGAGAAACCCAAGTTGTTAATATAACTGCATTTAGGTTTAAAATTACTTTCATTTAACAATAAAAAACATTTGGAGATTTCAAGTTGTCTGGAATTTAGGGAAAGTAGTATGTTGTGTAAAGAGGCTGTTTTGGTAAATGTTCCAAAATTCATACCCATACATGCAATGTTTTCCTACAACAACTCCAACAACTCCAACTTGGTCATTTGGACTAAACTCTTTCAAAATCTGGTGGAAAATAAACTTACTCAATACTTTCCTGAAGAACTGTGCCAATAGTTTATTGATTCTTTTAAGCCATTTATTTGATACCTCATATAAAGATGGTACTTTATCATTAGACTGGAAAACAGCAAGTGTTATTCCAATTCACAAAAAGACCAACAGTTGACCCAAGTAATTATAGACCCATCTCCTCGACATCTACTTGTTATCTGTAATGAAAAAAATAATTAACAACAAACTAATAAATAATCTCTTACTCAACAATCTAATCACAAAAGAGCAGCATGGTTTTATACGTAAACGTAGTACTCGGTGTTTAAAAACTTCTTGCTGTACTGCTTTGTTCTAATTTTGTTTAAACTTGTTCCATCACATAATAAAATTTAACATTTCAGTAGAAAATTTTTTAAAATATTTGTAAACTCCAGTATTTGTGGATTATTAGATGTGTGTGTGTGTGTGAAACACATCTGTGAAATACAATCTGTTGTGTGAAACACAACTGCGAAATATAAACTGTTATGTGAAATATAACTAATTTTAAACTGCATTCTAGGATACATCTTTTTAATGATAAAATATTTCTTAATGGTTTTTATGACGCTTTGAATTTTTCTTCTTTTTTCTTTACTTCAAACATCATAACTCAACCAAAAATTTATCAATTTGTGTGAAACTATTAAATAATACAAAAAACAATAGCTTTCAAAGCATCACCTCATTCAACTACGCTTTATAACAAAATTGTGTATCCCTCCAACGTTATACTACGGTTGACTGATCTTAATATACAAATTCCTTGAATAGTTTTAGCCTAAAACTTTCGCCGCAGATTTAGGATTAGAATTTTCAATTAAATCAAATATATGCAAAAATCTTTTGTACTCGGTAGAAACAACATATCCTGTCACAAGTATAACCCACCACTTTGAATTAAATAGTTTGATTATGGTTTGTAAAATGTTTTATTTCTTTATTATATCACTGATGATAGATTTTTTTTTTCTTTGCTATACCGCACAGTGGTTAGAAATGCTTGAAATAGCAAATTAATGTTATTTGATTTTTGAGGTGTTATTTAACTTTATTTGAAAAGTGGTTGCTATGGGCGTTGTTAGGTAAACAAAATCTACCCAAATCGTTTCTAAGATGAATTAGACCCATTTATGCGCAAATTTGACAAATGCAAGTTCTCAAATTTTATTCTACAACGATCGAAATAAAAGAAAATCCCTTTTTATAAAATCTCGAAAAAAAAAAAATACGTTTTGAATACCTTAAGGTGGTTTACCACCTTAATAAAAAAAATAAGAAACTACGTTTTCTTTCTCTAACAACTAAAATTTAGAAAAAAAAAAAAAAAAAAATTTATGTAAAGAAATATTTTATATTAAAAAATGTTTAATTTGGTTAAAAGATAATGAATTACAAAAAAATCTTTTCCTGTCACAAAAGATTTCAATATCTTTTTAACCAAGAATTAAAAATAATTTCAATGGTCCTAAAAACTAATCAGAATCTCTATCACATAATACGGTTGATATTTATACAAATTTCCAGCAAGCATCATTGTAAGTCAATGATGCTTGCTGGAAATATTCAAAGATAGCCAGTGTCAATGATCAAATCAATTTAAAGTTAAAAGGGTTATGTAGGAGGTTAGAGATTAAATGCAAAAATGTAAACTAATTCCAAACCAATATGTAAGATTTTAAATTAAACTAGAAAGAAGGTAAAAAGACTAAATTTTCTAAATTTAATTTTGAATTTTGGAAACCAATCAGGTATTTATTATTTTTACATGCTTTAAATTTCATTTTTCTTCACATGAATTCTTGAATGACGAATCTTTCAACTACATATCTACAAAGTTTTCAACTATCTCCGAGGTTTTTAAATGGAATCATTGTTAAGTAATTATGTTTTAAAAAGTCAAAAATATTTTTTAAAGTTTGTCTCTACCCAGCTTGTACTTAGTTTCCAGCTTTACTTTAAAATGACGAATTGCATTAATCCAGAAGCTTTGAGTAAAAAAAAATGCTATGCATACTTTCTTGGAGTAAAAAAAAATGCTATGCATACTTTCTTGGAGTTAAAAAAAATGCTATGCATACTTTCTTGGAGTAAAAAAAAATGCTATGCATACTTTCTTGGAGTAAAAAAAAAATGCTATGCATACTTTCTTGGAGTTAAAAAAAATGCTATGCATACTTTCTTGGAGTTAAAAAAAATGCTATGCATACTTTCTTGGAGTAAAAAAAAAATGCTATGCATACTTTCTTGGAGTAAAAAAAAATGCTATGCATACTTTCTTGGAGTAAAAAAAAAATGCTATGCATACTTTCTTGGAGTTAAAAAAAATGCTATGCATACTTTCTTGGAGTTAAAAAAAATGCTATGCATACTTTCTTGGAGTAAAAAAAAAATGCTATGCATACTTTCTTGGAGTAAAAAAAAATGCTATGCATACTTTCTTGGAGTAAAAAAAAAAATGCTATGCATACTTTCTTGGAGTTAAAAAAAATGCTATGCATACTTTCTTGGAGTTAAAAAAAAATGCTATGCATACTTTCTTGGAGTTAAAAAAAATGCTATGCATACTTTCTTGGAGTTAAAAAAAATGCTATGCATACTTTCTTGGAGTTAAAAAAAAATGCTATGCATACTTTCTTGGAGTAAAAAAAAAATGCTATGCATACTTTCTTGGAGTAAAAAAAAAATGCTATGCATACTTTCTTGGAGTTAAAAAAAATGCTATGCATACTTTCTTGGAGTTAAAAAAAAATGCTATGCATACTTTCTTGGAGTAAAAAAAAAATGCTATGCATACTTTCTTGGAGTAAAAAAAAAATGCTATGCATACTTTCTTGGAGTTAAAAAAAATGCTATGCATACTTTCTTGGAGTTAAAAAAAAATGCTATGCATACTTTCTTGGAGTTAAAAAAAATGCTATGCATACTTTCTTGGAGTTAAAAAAAATGCTATGCATACTTTCTTGGAGTTAAAAACTGTTAAAATATCAAGTATGGTAATGTTTTAAAAATTAATTTAGAATTTATTCGCATTTTAAAGCATTTCAGACGATAATGTGCCTCCTAATTAATATTTTTTGTTAGTTTATTTTTTTGAATATTTTGTGTATATATTTAAAACATTTGACACTAGCTTTTTAATTGAAGCTCATTAAAATGAAATAAAAATCTATTATTGAGGATAGTTAATACAAAATATTACATAATTTTAGTTAAAATATTGCGCAATGTATTCTTGTCATACGCCAACCATAAATCTCTAAGAAGTTACAGCCTTTATGTCTATGTCTAACTTCGGTCCAGTAGGGATAATTAGACTGAGATATTGAAAGAACTCACCTAAAAATTTTATTGATTTACAATAAAAATTAATGTTAAAAATAACAAAAATTATATTCTTTAATTTTCAATTTAATATAAGTTTAGTTATGCTCAGTTAAATCTTAAAATGCGGTTCTAAAAAATAGATTTAATAAACTTAAAGCTTTCTGGAATCGTGATGCGGACAGAAAATACAAATTGTAAAGAAACTTAATACCAATTCAGAAGAAAAGTGCAATAAAACAGTTATCATTTAGTGAAATAAATCAATGTTATTATTTAGCAAAATAAAACAATGTTATTACTTAATGAAAAAAATAAATAAAAATGGATTCTCATCAGATTCAAGCTACCTTGAACGTGTTCCAGCTGGTCTTAAAATATAAAAAAATTTATAATTCAAGACTTGCTTTTACAGAAACAAGCAACTATTTATATTGCACTATTTTTAAGTGTGTGCTAAGTTTACAAAAGAAGAGGTCATGCAATCAAAAAGGATTGTAAAAAGCATATGTTTATTTTGAACAATTCAATTAACATATGTATTTAGATTCCAATTAAAATAATCGATTTAATCAAAAGTTCGGATTATGTGATGGAGTAAAGCTTTATTCATTGGCACTAGTATCTTAATTAGTTTATGTTATTTCATAAATGGTAAACTTTTAACAATGCTTGTGTGCTTGAATATCTTTGTAAAATTTAAATTTCGTTTTTACAAATTTAGCTGTTTATTTATTTATTTTTATTTTTTTTAGCAAGTTGCAATTTTTTCACTTTTTTTTCTAAGTGTATATAAAGATTCCTTTGTGTAACCCTTATACAAGTACTTTGGTTTGGTTATACAAGTACTAATGCAAAAAAAAAAAAGTATATATAAAAAGTTGAAATTTAAGTTTTCTTAAAAATCATGGATTAAATTTTATTCATAAACATTTTTGAAAATATGTACTAATATTATTTGGTTGCAACTTATTATTTGTTTTTTTTTTAAATTATAAATTTATTTAATACATATTTTTTTTTAATTATAAATTTAGTTAATACATAATAACTAAATAAACTTTTATTCAAAAAAATATCTTTTTAACAGTCAATGCTTAGAAAGCTGGTTAATATTTTTCTGACCTTGTCAAATTCCTTTTGTTTAGCGTTTAGTCTCAGGTGCTTAATATAAAGGAGGGTAGTTTGTTAACGTTTGTAAACTGTACTTACCCTGAGCGTATTAAAATTCATGAAATTCATTGGTTTATTAAATTTCACTAACTGCCAAAGAAAACTATTTACTGATAAAAATAAAAACTTGGAGTAACCAGGCTTTAAAATGTCAAATTTGAACTAACTGATCAAAATAAAAACTTCCATTGTAATCAAAAAGTTATTGAGAGTTTGTATTGAAAACTGAATAACTTGTATTGTTGTTGTTATACATTTTTGAGTTATTTGTCCACATTTCGATCCCAGAGTCCTTAGTTTTAATTTATTCAATATTTACGTGACCAAAGCAAAATGATACTCTATTGAATGGTTAAATTCATTTAAATCAATAATAACTTAAATTGATGAACCTTATTTATTTACCTCAAACCCTTTAAAAACTATTTTAGAAAATATCAAGTAAACTCACATATAAATAACAGTAACAATATTTTTGTATACCTTTAGAAGTAAGCTTGTGTGATTCAATTGTCTTTAAAAATACTTTTATATTATCTTTAATTTCTTCGGGTTTAAAGGTAGTCTATTAAAAATATTAAATTTAACTCAAATATTTTACATAGCTGTACAATATTTTACATATTTGTACATAACTGAACAAATATGTAAAAAAACAATTGATAATTTTAAACAATTTTTATTATTTTCGAAAATTTTATTATGAACTTTATTTATCGGAAAATTAATTATTTGAAAACTAATATATACCAGTGCAACAGTATGTCTTAACACACCAGAATTGTCAGCTATATATGATTCTCCATGGAGGAATACTTGAAGTGCTGCAACAATATCATCTGTAGCAGTTCCTTGATATTTAAATAAAATTTAGAATAAACAAATTATATTAGAATATAATATACAATAAACATATTTATATTATGAAAAACAAAGTTTACTTAAATAATAATTTTAGAATACAAAAAAAAAAATCATAAAAAATAATGTATTTATATATTAGTATATATCAAAAATGTATTTGCACAGTTTAATTACTCAGTCTAATTTCAATCTTATTGGTCAAATTTATTCTATCAGTTAATCTTATTGGTCTAGTTTATTCTAGTTTATTATTCTTCTGGTAACTGATTGGTCAAAGTCCTTAAATAACACTTTTGTCCTTAAAATGCTTATTAATTTGTTTTAATTATTTCATTTTAATTGAAAAAGACAAAAAATAATCCACACTTAACAAAATAAAAAAAAAAAATGAAAAATAATTGACCTTGATTTTGCTCAAAATCTCTGCTTTTTTCCCTTTTATTGTTCAAACTATTTTCCTATTCAACTCTTATTACTTATTTAAAAAGCCTCAGATTTTCACCAAACTGTAGAAAAAAATTTTTCTTAGTTCTAACCATATACTTTTATCCAAAACATCTTTAGATAGAGATAAAAGATATATTTAGATGTTTTAAACATTTATAGATTAGTATGATTCTGGATGACTGGTTTTCAAAATCTAACAAAAATTCCTTGTTTAGAAATACCCATATGTCTGCACCACAAAATAATTTTATAAATGTATGATGAATTCTTAAACATGATATGGTTAAGAATGATGTTATCCATTTACAAACATTTCATTCTAAATTTTACTCAACAATATTCTGCACTTTATTTTTACTAATTGGTTGATCAAATTTTCATTAACAATGTCCTGATGTTCAGAATTATTTCATTAAAAAATTACAACATTAACAGAGATGTTGTGGATTTTCTTTTTGTAAGGTAATTTGTTATTGAAAAAAACAAATATTAAAAAAATTTGAATAAGGAAAATATTACTTACCTCTTCTAGTGTTAGGCATTTTGTTCTTAAGAATTCTTGGCAAATGTTTGATATTGGGAAGGAAATCTAATGTACTTAAGCAGTGGTCAAACTCTAATGTTCCTTCTTCGATCTAAAATATTTCACAAGTTACTATATTACCTTATATAAAAACCTGTTAATCTTTAATTTGTTAACCTTAAATTTAAAAACAGCTGTTTTATTAACTCTGTACCACCAACAATAATATCATTACCAATTAAAACATACCTGTTAAAACATACTCTGTACCACCAACAATAATATCATTACCAATTAAAACATACCTGTTTTATTAACTCTGTACCACCAACAATAATATCATCACCAAACAATCTTGCATTTGCTGCTGCTTCTCCCTTAAAATGAATTTCATATTATCTTTGTTATCATATAACAACTGTCATTAAAATATATTTATATATATTTAAATTTAATGAAAGAAAAAATATATGATTATTTTAGTTACAAAAAATTAGTTAGTTTGAATTAACCTAGCAGTAAACCTATTTAAAGTCAGTTTGCACTCTAAGATTACCTACCTTATTTAAGATTACCTACCTTATTTAAGACACCTATTTAAAGTCAGTTTTTACTTGAAATTATTAGTTATGTTTTTAAGACTAATCGTATTGGTTGATGGAACTAGAGATGATAGTTCTTTTGAGCAGTGATCTTGATAGTATTTGTAGAAAATAGAAAGAGATCAACCTTAAAAGATGAGAAAGGGCTCAAACATGGCAGATAGGACAATTCTAATTTCTTTTACAATACATTTTTAGACTTTGTCAAAAAGAGAAAGGGCATCATTAGAATAACCAGCCCATATATGAAAACAGGATTCTCTAGTTAACAGTAATAATTTAAACAGGCATAAAGTAGAGAACTCAGTGAGAGTGTTGCAGAAAATTTTTGGAATGCCAAAACAATGATGATGACAATCATGATAAATATATATAGCGATTTTAGCATTTTTTACTGACTTGATCAAAACAATCATGACAACCATGACGAACAAATCAATGACAACCATGACGAACTTTGAAATAAGAATTTTAGCATGACCACAGTATCCAGAGATTTTGTGAAAACAATTTTATGGATACTTATAAAACATTTTTATTGAGAAAAACTACTATGAAGTTTTATTTACAGTTTAATCTCCTTGATAAAAATGAAAAACATTATGAAATAGATTAATTGTCTACAAAAGTCCTGAACTGTTGACTGATCAGAAACAGTGTGGTTTATGATATGAAAAAAAAAATCTGATTGGGCAGACCTGAAAGAGCCACACTGCTTTCAAGTCAAGAAGATATAAGATTGGGGAGCAGAGATTTTCATAGGGTTGAAATCCCACTTTTAAATGCTACTAGCTGCCCGGACCTGTAAAATACTTTTCATGGTAAGTCTATTCTTCACTTACCATATCAATACTTAATCCTTACTTCAATTCAACAAGTTTAATACTTTTTTTTTTTTTTTTTTTTTATTTTACTTCACCTCCTCAAGGCCGAGAAGGCCACTACAGACGAAGAGGCTACTTATTTTGTGGCTATAACCCTCTCTCAACTCTATAACTCCGAAACACGAACCTTGACGAACAAGGCCGCTGCGCGGAGAAACGAGTTGAGCGCGGTACTACCAGGGACGTGGTGGGGATCGAACTCGGAACCACTCATTTATGAAGCGAGCGCTCTACCACTACACCACTACCGCATTTAAAATTTTAAATCTTAAACTTCAATATTTTTTAGTAAGCAGTAGAAAAAAAAATAAAAAAAACTATGACTAAAATACATATATATGGTTACATACATAATTGCTGTTTCGGCAGGAGAGTGCTTTTGTTTCTGATACATATCTGAGCTAACTTTTAGAACCAGAAAATAATATAAATCCTATGTATGGATGCTATATCCATCATAGGTAATTTGTAGTATGGCTGGGTTGGCTAGATGTGTTTCGGGAATAATAGTTTTCACTCTGATTTCTACTAAATTAACTATAATACTTGACTCTATTGTACTGGAACATTCAATACTTTCTTCGTTAATCTTTGGCATGTGTGAGTATCTATGAATATGTATGTATATAAGTATCAAATTATTTTTCTGTTGAGAATAATATAATGATAATGCTGTATATAGTTATACTCTCAGTATTTATTACCTTCATTTTATTTTATACCTTTACTTTTGACTCATATCTTAATGTCCAGTAGTGTTGTGACCAAAACTAAAAATTGTAACTAACTAAACTAAAAAAACCGTAACTAAAATTAGTAGACTAACTTTTTAGTTAACTAAAATTAGTCGCCTAATTTTTTAGTTAACTAAAATTACCTGACTAACTTTTTAGCTAACTTAAATTAGTCGACTAACTTTTTGGTTAACTAAAATTAATCGACTAATTTTTTAGTTAACTAAAACTACCCAACTAACTTTTTAGTTAACTTAAATTAGTCGACTAACTTTTTAGTTAACTAAAATCAGTCGACTAACTTTTTAGTTAACTAAAATCAATTGACTAACTTTTTAGTTAACTAAAATTACCCAACTAGCTTTTTAGTTAACTAAAATTAGTCGACTGACTTTTTAGTTAACTAAAATTACCGACTAACTTTTTAGCTAACTAAAATTACCTGACTAACTTTTTAGCTAACTAAAATTACCCGACTATGTTTTTAGTCTAACTAAAATTAGTTGACTAACTTTTTAGCTAACTAAAATTAACCGACTAAGTTTTTAGTTAACTAAATATACCTGACTATGTTTTTAGTCCAACTAAAGAAATTTATAAATATATAAAATAAACTATTTTTGAATAAGTTTGCTAATGCATAACCATTTTACCGCACAACACCGCAATAATAAAAAAATATCAAAATAATTTTCTTTCAATTTTCAATGCCGAAGGTTTAATGAGATACTTCAAGAAAAATGAAAATAGTGGTTATATAAAATTGTCAGTAAACGTGCAAAATTTTATACTTTTGGCATCAAAATCAACATGTGTTTCCAATATTGTATTGTATTTCAACAATGATTTTATGTACGCCTGTTACCAATGCACCAAGTGAACGCCTTTTCTATGACGCATTAAACACTTTGTATGCAAAGCGAAACAGAATGACAACTGAATGTTTTCAAATGTTGATGTTTTGTACAAAAATTTGTAATTTTTTAATTTAGTTTAAATTCATTAAATTTAATACTGAAGTTTTTTCTTGTAATAAGTATTTTTTAATAAATTTTATTGTTCTTAAATAAATATTATTAAATTTAGTATTCGAACTCTTTTGTGTGATACTGATTTTTTTTGTTTGTTACAGAAATGTAAAAAATTAATTTAGTTTTTTAAACTTAAAATTTTTAAAAAATGTTAAAAAAAATGTTTAAAAAAAAGAAAAAATTGAAAATTAAAAAAATTAATGTGTGATTTTAATGTTCTTGAGTGTGCGATTTTATCATGATGTTGCCTAAAACCGCAAACTTTCTTTTTTACCTTTATTATTTTAATAGTTTGATTTTTTTTTTTTTTTTTAAATATTTATTCATATATTCTTTAGTATTTTTTTAAAAATCTATCAAATGAAAAAATATAAAAATAAATATAATAAAAAAGTTAATGAATTTTAATTGATAATTGTTTTGACCCGGTTTTACATGTATTTTAAAGTGCTTAAAAACTACATATTGCATTTTTCAAGTAATTAAAATGTCATAAAGAATTTCCTGGTTTTAAAAGTGACCGCAGTTACTTAATAAAATGTTTTCATTATTCAACAGTTAAGTATTATTTAATACATTTTATACACTATTCGACCACTTATATTGCGGAAATTGTATTTTAAAATGCGATTACCAACCTTCCTTTTAAATTTTGCAAGTATCGCCAACCGACAAACAACTATACTCTGAAAGCAATAAATATATTCACAATAACTTATTTAACGACTACCTTTTTGGTTTATGTCAATACTTTCGTATGCCTAACTGAATTGTTTGTGGGTTATAACAGTCGGGAGAGAAGATGCAACAATAAATGTTTGTATATTGCGTATTGTATTTGTGGTGGTGGTTACGTTAACATTACAATAGGTTTAGGGAGGGTTAATAAAGGGAAGGAATTTAATGCCCATTTATAATTTTAAGTGAAAACAATATTTTTATATCTTCTGTATTTGGAAAAACTAGAATGCAAAATGTTTCTACTGCATTGTTTCTAATTTTTTTTTTTTTTTACTGTATTTTTCAATCTACTTTATTTTGTTTCCTGTTGTTTGTTTTTTTTTACTTTTTTTTTTTTTGTATTTGGGTGGTTATCAGTTGTTAGGAGAGGTTGATATTTAAAGGGGTAGGGAGGGGGAGTCATAGATTTGTTGTGAAAATTAGAGATTGAATCCATTCCTATAATATGGCAGGGGACAGAGCTGTAATGAACAACGAGACAAAGGGGAGGGATGCAAATAAAAAAAGCTTTTTTACCCTAAAAATTTCACCAAAGTAGGGCTTTTTTATTTTATTTAAAAGCCAAATTTCAGTTTTAACTGACCGAGTCTCAAATTTTCCAAATTACCGACAAAACCGACGGAATGTTGTAAACCTCAGAAGGTGCCCACACCCCCGTCTGTAGGGCCTTTGCAGGAGAAACTATTTTTGATGTGCGATTATTATTGCACACTACCTATAGGATGCAGCACATAAAAAATATTAGTTAAACGTTCAATAAGCGTACCAAATTTGATTTAATTGACTAAAGGGCATTATTTGTACATTCCATGCTGATTGGGTGTTTATAAACAGTTGCAACAACCTCATAGGCAGTTGTCTCCGAGCTGGGAAAAAATAAAAATAATCGAATTTTGCTTAAAACATTTTTTTTGAATAACAGTTTAGTTTGACGGGATTCACAATTAGTTAAGTGTTTAATTTCGATATAATAATATCTATCGCCTTAATAAAGCTTCCTCATGCGTAAAATTTTTATTGCTTTAGTCAACTAAATTTAGTTACACTAAATATTTAGTTGATTAATTTGAGTTAACTAAAAAGTTAGTCAACTAATTTTAGTTAGACTAAAAAGTTAGTCAGGTAATTTTAGTTAGCTAAAAAGTTAGTCGGGTAATTTTAGTTAACTAAAAAGTTAGTCGCGTAATTTTAGTTAACTAAAAGATTAGTCAGGTAATTTTAGTTAGCTAAAATATTAGTCGACTAATTATAGTTAACTAAAAAGTTAGTCATGTAATTTTAGTTAACTAAAAGGTTAGTCGACTAATTTTAGTTAACTAAAAAGTTAGTCGACTAGTTATAGTTAGACTAAAAATTTACTTAAGTATTTTTAGTTAGACTAAAAC